CTAAACTAATAAACAGACACAAGACTGATTTCTTATTTTCTCATTCTTCCTTACTAAAGAAAGAAAGGTATTCACTCGAAATATAGGTCATCAAAACATAAAGTCCATTATCAGTTTACCAGTTCTTATTCTCCTTTTCTCATGTAAACTCAGGGCACTTGATGATTTGAGAGTTCTAAACCTCATTTCAGAAAATGTCCCAGTTGTAAAAGACTTCCCAACCACTGTCATTCTCAATTCTAACAGGCCTCAGCAGAAATCCAATATAGGTATCCACTTTCACTACTCCCTTCATCTGATCATAAATCTACAAGCAAGTTACTTTTTAAGTGTCCAGTTAGTCTTGTCAAAGATTTCATTTTGCCTACATCTTAAGTTATGCCTATTATTATTCTAGAGGTATTAAATGTATGCACTAATCTTCAGGCTGCCTCCCACAACAAAATATACACATAGCCTTCCAGATATTTAAGTATCAGCTGACTAATGAAAATGAGATTCTGTACTCAAAATATTTAGCCTTTATTAACTAGAACTTCTTTATTAATATATTTGAGAATGTCTACATATAAGGATTTCTGAAAAATATGTTTTAAAAAATTATCAAGTATTAAAATTATGACAATAAAACATGATTATATGGAGATAATCTACTCTTCAAAATAAAGTGATGATCATTTATGAAGGCATGGTTCTATGTCCACATTTACTTACCTTTATCCAATTTTCTATGACTAAAAAACAGTGATCTCATCAATTCATAGTCATTTCTTCCCAAGAATTTTGCAACTTGGTAAAGTCCTTTAGGATTCTTTTTCATAACTAACACTTGTACTGTTGTTATGTGCTGTCGAATCGCCTGCGACTCACAGCAACCCTCTGTCATAACTAACACTTGTACTGTTGTTATGTGCTGTCGAATCGCCTGCGACTCACAGCAACCCTCTGTACAATAGCCCTACTCTCTGCTCTATCCCGTGTCAATCTTATTATCTCCAACACATCTATCCCCATTATCCCAGTGATTGAATCAATCCATCTTGAGGGTTTTCCTTATCTATGTTTAATTTTTCAGCCATGAGTTATATATATTTAAATAATTATTTCAAAGAATGTCAATAATTTTACTTTAGATACTCATAAAAGCTTAGAAGTCCAAAAACAAAGCAATCATGATTCTTGGATTTATGGCATAAAACCAAGTACACACAAATGCTCAAATAGTTTATGATTTTTACATTTATACTACAAATTTTCCTTAAAATTCAATTCTTTGACATCAAAGCACATTTTTTCCAGACAATCTGAAACATTAAAAATTTATAATACTAGGGGAGCTCTGGTGGCCTAGTGGCAAGAAGCTGCACTGCAATCCCAGAGATGCATGGTTCAAATCCACCAGATGCTCTGCCGGGAAAGGAGGGACAATCTCCTCCTGTACCAGTCAGATCTGATCTGACGGTACACAGACACACATACACAAAATAAAATAAAATAAAATAAAAAATTTATAATACTAATAGTTCAGCACTTAATTCATATTCCTAGATGCAAAAAAATTCATTGAGTCACTTACTATGATAATTGTGATAAAAGAGAATCAATAAATTTATTGGTGAAAATGTCTTTTTTTTTCCCCAGAAAATGTCCTGAAAGGAACATCACACCCTAAATTATCTAAGTGGAAGTTATAAGGGCACTCTCTCCCTGTTTCCCCAAGAAGTTGGGAGGTCTTCATACAAAAAAGCCTGAGCAAGGTCAATTTGCACAGAACACCTCTGAGTGGGAAAGATATGAGAAATCTAGTATATATAAAACAGAATAATCATTAATTACAAGTCATATTTAACACGAGAATAAGGTTTAGAAATGGATTTCGAAAAAGCTTGATTCACTTATTTAATAAATACAACATACTGATTATAACAGATCAAATCTAGAAGTGTAATTAAATGGCAGTAATAATTTTAAATAGTATCATTATAATGACTTAAAACTTGTTTCATCTCACACATAAATGAGTGTGGGAAAGAAGAAGGGGGAAGATTATGATCCATGTCTTTTTCTATTTAATGTTAGATAATGCAAAATCAAACATTTAAAATTAAGTGGTACCTCATGTAGAACATGTAGTATTAAACATGTGCCCTTTAATAAATACACAGGGCCTGTCAATCTCTAATTCCTTCACTTTTTGGTTTTTTTATTTCATTTCTGATGGACTGAGGAAGAAAGTTTGAGGATTTTATAGAAAATAAATTCTTTTCTAAACATTTAAATACAAATATTTTATTTCTTTGTTTAATTAAGAATAACAACAGTTTCAAGATAACAAGTACAATTTAGCTGAAAAACTAGCTGTCTCTTCAAACGTTTTTTTAGATGGCTGTTAGGTGCTGTTGCATTAACTGTGACTCATAGGGACCCTAAGAACATTAAAACTCATACCAAATATTGAAGCTTCTATACATAGATAATTCCAAATATTTTTTCTCATTAAGAATACTATTCAGACTTTGCTAATACATGTAAAATTAAAATATTTTTAAACACTTGAAGAAAAAAGAGAAAAGATTTACCTCTTCTAGTTATAGCTGGTAAGTCCTTCCACAGCATAGATTTTGGAGGGAACAGAAATTAAAGTTCTGCTTTCTATTTTTAAATTTCTTCTGCGTACGTGTGTGTCTATCTTACCAACATGAAATTATGTATGCTTCTGACAGCCTAGTGGTAAGGAGTTGTGCAGCCAAACCAAAGGCACATAGTTTAGACCTGAATTCACCAGCTGCTCCATAGAAAAGAGATGAGCAATATCCCTTCATGCAATTTACAGCCTATGAAAATCTGCTGGAGGGTCAGCTTAATGATGTTGTTGTTGTTGTTATGTGCCGGGGAGTCGCTTGCGACTCATAGCGACCCTATGTACAACAGCCCTAAACTCCGCTCTGTCCTGTGCCAATCGCACTGTCTCTGACACTCCCATCCCAATTATCCCAGTCACTGAATCAATCCACCTCATAGAGGGCCTTCCTCTCCTGCGCCGTCCCTCCACCCTCCCAAGCATGATGTCCCTCTCCAAGGACCAGTCTCTCCTCACTACATGTCCAAAGTATGTTAGACGGAGCCTCAGAATCCTTGCCTCCAAGGAGCCACCCGGTTTAACCCTTTCCAGGACAAATCTGTTTGTTTTCCTATCAGTCCATGGTATTCTCAATACTCTTCTCCAGCACCACAGCTCAAAGGCATCAATTCTCCTTCTATCCTCCTTGGTCATTGTCCAACTCTCTGATGCACAATAAGTGATTGCGAAGACCATGGCCTGTATCAGACACACCTTAGTCTCCAGAGAGACACCACTGCTCTTCGGTACTTTGGAGAGGTCCCTAACAGCAGACTTTCCCATGGCAATGCGCCTTTTAATTTCCTGGCTGCTGGTGCCAAGACTGTTGACTATGGAACCAAGCAAACTAAAGCTGTGTACAATCTCAATCTCTTCACCATCCATCCTGATGCTGCCGATTGGTCCAGTGGTGAGAATCTTTGTCTTCTTGACATTGAGCCTCAATCCATATTGCAGGCTGCAGTCCTTGATACTCTGCAGCAGGCGCTTCAGGTCCTCCTCAGTTTCAGCAAGCAGGGTTGTGTCATCCGCATAACGCAGATTGTTGATAAATCGTCCACCAATCCTGACCCCACATTTCTCCTCATAGAGCCCAGCCTCCCGGATAATCTGTTCTGCATATAGGTTGAAAAGGTATGGAGATAGGATGCATCCCTGGCGTACGCCCTTTCCAATTTTGAACCATGCAGTGTTCCCTTGCTCTGTTCTAACGACTGCCTCCTGGTCCAAGTATAGGTTTCGCATTAGAACGATCAAGTGTTCTGGGATTCCCATTCTTCTCAGAGTCAGCCATAATTTGTTATGATCCACACAGTCAAATGCCTTTGCATAGTCAATGAAACACAGATAGACTTTCCTCTGGTATTCCCTGCTTTCAGCTAAGATCCATCTAACATCAGCTACAATATCCCTATGACCACGACCCCTTCTAAACCCAGCCTGGACTTCTGGTAGTTCTCTGTTGATGTGCTGTTCCAGTTGTTTTTGGATAATCTTCAGTAAAATCTTGCTTGCATGTGAAATCAGTGATACATAAAACAATTTTAAAATGGAGTAAACTTTGAATTACCTTTATATATGCTGAACCAGACAGCAGATAAATTCAGCCTTTAAATTTAGTTTAACTGTTATTATATTTTACTGTATCAACTCAAGTGGAAAATTCAATAATTTTAGAACAGAGAACTTTGTTTTCAAAATAAAAAAACTCTGGCCAACTCTGGCCTTATGTTTTTATTTGCATTCTCAAGACTAAAAATAGGTATGCACACTCAAGACTTACTAAAGACCTTACTTAGCAGTCCTTTGAAAAAGACATCATGCTTGAAAGGCAGAGGGTCAGTGAATGAAAGAAAGACCTCAAAAAGATGAAATGACACTGTGACTGTAACATCAGGCTCAAGTGTATCAGAGATGATAAGGATAGTACCAGAAAAGACAGAGTTCAGGTCCGTTCACAGCTTCACTGAATCATAGTCGACTTGACAGTACCTAACAACAATTACTATATTACAGTTCTTAATTCTGCAAATACACTTTTCTCTTTTACTATGTCAGAAAAAAAAATTAAGCCACATACAAAATCAATGTAAAATAATTTTGTTATCACTGGGTACCGTCAAGTCACAACAGACCCATGCTGACCCTGTAGTGGGTTTTCAGAAGCAATAAATTGCACAAGAGAAGACTGCTCATCCTTCTGCAGCAGAGCAGCTGGTGGATTCCAACTGTGTCTCTTTAGGTCTTTAGGGTGGCAATGCAGTTCCTTACCACTGTAGACACTAGTGGCTTTATAAGTTTAAAATATTAACAGTAATAAGATCCCCAAATCAAGTCAAGTAATTTATAGAAAATTAGTTTAAAAGTCCTCTCTTCTCACCTGGCCTGTCCCGATGATATGTTCCATTCTTCTCGCTGACCAGTACTTCGTGATTTTGATTTGTCCTTGCAAACAGAATCAGGTTGTTTCAAAGTGCGTTTGGCTGGAGGAGACACGTGGCTATCGCTTAAACTACCATCAACTTCACCTTTCTGAAAGACAAGGTTAAAAATATGGTGTTATTATTATCCTTGTGAAAACATTTAGAATTCAGGTTCATCCTGAAGAGGGTGAAACCAGGCTGTTCCTTGGAGGTAAGGATTCTGAGGCCTCGTCTGATACACTTTGGACATGTTGCAAGGAGGGACCAGTCCTTGGAGAGAGACGTCATGCTTGCAAAGAGTGGAGGGGCAGCACAGGAGAGGAAGACCCTCTATGAGGTGGACTGATTCAGTGACTGGAGTAATTGGGGTGGGTGTGTCAGAGACAGTAAGGCTGGCACAGGACAAAGCAGGGTTTAGGGTTGCTGTACATTGGGTCGATATGAGTCGCAGGCGACTTGACGGCATATAACAACAACAACAATATCCTTATATAACCAGGAACTGTGGTGGCCTAGAGGTAAGATGGTGAGCTGCCAACTGCCAACCCTAAGGTGTATGGTTCAAACCCACCAGCTGCTCTGAGGAAGAAAGATGGGCAATCTACTCCTGTGAGATTTAAAGCCTCTGAAAACCTGCTGGAGGATCAACGATGTATGAGTCAATTCTGACTCAAAAGCATATAACAACATCATTACAAACATAGCAAAATGTAGTAACTTGTGAATATAATCTAGTTTTTCTTGTTATTTGAGTTTCAAGCTTATGGAAAATGGAGTATATGTCATATGTATGTAATTTTTTTTAAATTTAATTATTTTGTGTGAGTTTACCGTCAAATCGTATCTGACAGGTACAGGAGGAGATCTGCCCCTCCTTCTCCAGCAGAGCATTTGGTGGATTCGAACCACATACCTCTGGAATTGCCGTGCAGCTTCTTTTTTTTTTTTTTTTTTGCAGTGCAGCTTCTTACCACTAGGCCACCAGTACTCCCTGGTGTAATTTTCATAACCAGATGTCTCATCCCTTCCAAAATATTCCGATATATACCTCTCCAAATAAGGGCATTTTTCTATTCAGAATACAACCATCTCAAAAAGGAAATCAACACTAATATAACATAATGAAATGTATAGACACAAACTTTCCCAAATGTCCCAAAATCCTCTCCTCTTCCTTTCAGGTCCTGCATCACACACATATTTCCTTGTCAAATGCCCTTGTTCTACTTCAATTCAGAACAGTTCTGCAATCTTTGTCTTTCATGCCCTAGATTGTCTTTAGAGAAAGACCTTTCAAATGTGTTTGATGACCCTCAATCTGCTTCTAATCTCATTAACTCAGTCTATTTTTATGATACATTAATTGGCCATGTGTCAAAATCAATAGGCTGTCAACTGGTGTTTTGTTTTAATTCTCATAACAAGATTGAAATTACACATCCTTAAATGTATATGAAATGGTGTTCTCAGCTGAATATAAGAGACATACTATAGTTTTCTTTACCGTCACAACAGATGGTCAAGTTGGTGTCTGCCTGGTTTTTTCCCACTGTAAAGTCATTATTTTTTTTCCCTTTGTATTTGATCAATATTTTATGGTTAAATTATGCTGATAATTAACCAATATTCTTCATCAAATTCCACCTACTAGCCTTAGCATTCATTGGCTACTCTGCTTGCTATCATTTAATACTATGAATTATCTCATTTCACTATTACTTTTGTGTTCACATTCTATTGCAAGAAAGCTTTCCCTTCTCCTCATTTACTCACTCCTCTATTTAAATCATTAGGAATACATGGATTCTTATTATAACCCATGGGCTATAGCTTGTATTCTCCTTATTTCATTTTGTTGCTCAAATTATACAAGAGTTGGCCAGTGGAAGTCCCTTCAAGGTAGTTCCTGTATCTTTCTAACATAACCCCATCACCTTTTGAGCATTTCCATACTTTCTGGAATATGTGAATGTTCTAGCTTATCTAGTATTCCCTTATCTAGCTCTAGCATTAGCCATTTATCAAAAAAAAAAAAAGCTCTGGTTCCTTTCAGGTAAGGAATTTAAAACAAACAAACAAAAAAAACCCCTCAAATTTACTGCCATTAAACAGGAACCAACTTCCCGTTGACCTTCCACTGGATTTTCTGGGCACTGTAAATTTCGTAGCAGGAGACTATCCATCTTTCTCCCAAAGAGACACTAGTGGATTTGAAATACCAGAGACACTCTGCCTTTGGATTAGTATCACAACTACCTACGGACTATGCTGCCAATGAATAATATTTATAAAGTAAATGCACTAGTACACGCACTTTTACTGGAATTTCAGTGCTCTCTAAGGAGAGTTATAAAAACTATGAACTTACACATATATACAAGAAGCCCTGGGAGTATAGTACATAGGATATTGAGCTGACAACTGAAAGGGGTGCTCTGGTGGCTTAGTTGTAAAGAACTGTACTGCCAACACAAGTTTGTGATTTAAATCCACCATGCTTCATGGAGAAAGATGAGCAATCTCCTCCCATGTGATGTACTGTCTTTGAAAACCTGCTGAAGAGTCAGCTATGCGTTGGTTCTGACTTGACAGTACACAACAACAGCAAATGAAATATAGGTCACTTGGTCCACCAATCACTCTTCAGGAGAAAGATTGGCAATCTCCTCCCATAAAGAGCTACAATCTTGGAAACTTACTACATAGAGAGCATCATTATAAACTGGAACTATCAGTGGGGTTAGCCTGGATTTGTTGCATTCATCTGCATACAGGCAGCCCCCAACTTACTCAGTTTTATGAATGTCCAACTTGCATACGATAAGGGGTTACCAACCAAATCCCCATCAAGTCACTTTTTTATTAAAAAATTCAGGTATACCCAATGGGTGACATTAACAAATGGACATTACCTTGCAATGTACACCAAGACTTTCTTGCTAATATTGAATGATTATATAAGATGTTTTAATGCCTCTGAAGTGTATCTATGTCATCTTTTATACATAGAGAAGAATGGCTGTTAGGTGCCATTAAGTCAACTACGACTCAGAATGACCCTATGAACAACAGACCTGAAGATTCTCCTTATCCTAATTTCTGATATGCTTGAGCCCATTTTGATAATCACTGTGTAAATCCACCATATTGGGGCTCTAGAAAGGTACACTATATACTATATTTTTTTTAAAAGGTACACCATATATCCTATACAAAAAAAAAGCATTTTACTGACATTAGTACACTAAATATATATAAAATATAAGTATGTCTTAAAGAGAACTACTTTGTGTATGTGTGTATTACATAAATACACAACTATTTACCTACTACTACAGATCCATATTAATTTTTAAAATTCATTTATTCCAATTTTTTTCATTCCAGTCCCACACATTAAATTTATTTTTTTTCTATAATTATATTTTATTAATTTTCATAAACATTTACAGAGATTTTGGGTTTCCATTCATTCATTGTTGCACTATTCTCTCTACCCTCCTCCCAGTTTGTTCTTGTCCAAATGCCACAGTGCTTGTCAAAGCCAGTTCTGATTAATCTTCTTTGTCAGTGTGTCCTTTGCCATTCCCTATCACTCCTCCCTGAGAGAGACTTCACCCTGACACATTAAATTTATTTCTAGCTTTCTTCCTTTCTTAAACAGCAAAAAACAAGGCTTTCATGCATTTTCAATATATTATTTCTTTGCTCATTCACTTAACTCATTTGATCAGTATAATCAGTTTCTCAAGAGTCCTCCTCCACCCTCCACATTTCTATCAGCCTCTCCTCTGATTCAGTCTTAAATTCTAAATAAGTTGCTGTCTCTGCCCGGAAACCCTCCTCTTCTTTACCTCTCAATTCTTTTTAAATAGGATTTATGCATTAAATTTTATAATGTATCATTTGACACTAAAAGGGTTTTTTGGGTTTCTTTCTTTTTGCAATTTCACAAAGCAAGGGGGAAAGATTTATTAAGTAATAAGAGGAGTAATTAGTGTCAGGTGGTCCATGCTAAAGAGTCAAAGTGAAAAGAAAGAAGAGGGAAAAGGAGAGACAGACCCTTGAAAAGAAAGGGGTAAAAGCAGATCTTACAACACGCTGCCAGCAGAAGAGGAGGAGCAAAAATCAGTATTTTTAAATTTATACAATAATTTTTTCCTTTTTTTAATTATTTTTTTATTTTAAATAAATTTTTATTTTATACTGGTTTACTTTAAAAGTTCCTATACACTGTTTTTCACACCAGATTCTTATTTCCTTTACCCATTTCTCCTCCCACCCACCAAATTGTGTGACCCTATGATTACTTGTCCGCCCCACCCAATCCCACCCCCACCCATCCTGGCCCCTTGGCTCCCACCCTTCCCTTCTTGGATCTTCTCATATGTTCTACCATAATGGTCTTATGCAGTATTTGTCCTTACGGGCCTGAGTTAGTTCATTTAGCATAATGCTCTCCAGTCCCTCCCAAGTTAGGCAGTAATTTACAAAACCACTGCTCCTTTATACTGTATAGTATTCCACTGTGTGAATGTACCATACTTTCTCAATCCATTCAACTGTGGTTGTATATTAGGGCAATGCATTTCAGATAAGGGTCTCATATCAAAGTTTAGAAACCTACAGGGCCCTCCACAAGAAAAAGACTAATAACATAATTACAAAATGGGCAAAAGACATAGCCTTTTCCCATAGAAAGATATTCAAATGGCCAACAGATACATGAAGAAATGCTCAAAATCACTGGTAAGAAGAGAGAAGCCAATCAAAACCACAATGAGATTACCATCTCACTCCAGTAGCAGGGGAAAAGTTTAACAGGACAGAAAATATAAATGTTGGAGAGAATGTAGAGAGATGCATTGCTGGTGGAACTGTAAAATGGTACAACCATTCTGCAAGGCAGTTTGGCATTTCCTCAAAAAACTGAACACAGATACTCCATATAATCTATCTATTCTACTGCTTGGAATATACTCCAAGAGAATGAGAACTGAGATACAAACAGAAACTTGTACACCAATGTTCATAGCAGCATTATTCAGTATTGCAAGAACATGCAAAGAGCCCAACTGCACAATCATTTTTAATATCCCATCTCTTATG